ACCTATGCACTTATAATCATATAGTATGTTATTTTGACAAGACTAGGACTAATGGTTTTTTCCTTTTTCGGGGTTTTCTACATTAAAAAAATTTGCTCTCCTCCTACTATTTTTCTTTTATTATGTGTTGAATCTTCATACGATACTAAGTCGTTAAATTATCACTCTATCGCCGCGAATCTTTCGATATGCAACAGGTATCTAGGGTATTAATGGGTTATAATTATTTAGAGTTTAAAGTATATTGTATATAGGGTAGAGTTAATGTAGCATTGTTTAAACCGGGGCAAAATAAAACATAACTATTTTAACTTAGAAAAGGAAAAATACACATTTTCATGCTTAGATAAGGTGTAAAAATTGAAGTTTGGGTGTCAGATTTATAAATACATATGAATTGAGTTGTATGTTTGGAGGAGAACACGATATCACCTATTTTCTTGGTTGTTTTTTTTAAACATTATATTTCGAGAGAACCCTTATCAGGTAGAATTTACACACTTTTAAATTTATAAAATTTAATTGTGCTAATGGTAAGACTGGTGAGGGACACTCGATCGCATGAATACTAATCTTCAACACAATGCTATTTGATTTTAAGAAAGAGCATATGATAACATACTAACAATCATGTGACACTCACATTTGTAATTTAGCATTATTGTAGGGAGGTTGCAGTGTCTTCATTCATCAGAGCGAATGCCACCGTTCATAAGTGCAAACGCTCGCACAAATGAGGCTATCATAACATGGAAAAGCGTTCGTGACGTTGCTACTCATAATTGTCAGGAATCACTTAGAGTCATTGTCAAATGTCACATGCTATTTTATGATGAATGAGATATATGAATAATCAACTAATTCTTATATTCTATTACTATATATATAAAAAAAACATCATTACATATATAACATTAGAAACTTGTTATTTAGATTTTATACTATCAAACCGATGTATTTACGGATCATTACATATATAACATTAGAAACTTGTTATTTATAAAATCTAGCATTCAATTGACATTTTTATACTATCAAACTGATGTATTTATGGGTGTTACTGATGTATTTACATGTGACACGATCAAATCATTGATAATTTGATAAAAATGAAAAAAATATGAGTTGGATTGAGAATTTGATAAAAATGAAAAAAATATGAGTTGGGATTTTATCATCATTTTTTATATTTGAGCGAGAATTTAAAAAATAGATGAAATATAGTGCTAAATTTATAAATAAAAATATTTTGGGTGATGTGTATGTAAATAGCCAAAATAAACAAATTCATACATAATTTTAACCATTACATTCCCACTTTCTTTCTTGCTTCATGCAATTTTTCATATTTTGCTGCACTAAAATGCTCAATTAGGAGTTTAGGACTATCAGCAGATGACAAGGTTAGATCTGTAAATAAAGGTGGACATTAATTTTAAATTTTGGGACCATAGAGGAAAGAAACAAGAAAAGGTGGGCCCCAATATCACCTGGGATGCACGTGATTCCAAGGACCATTCGTTTTTTTTCTAAATTTACGTATATATCACACAATTCTTATGTAATTACAAATCTACCACTTAAATTTTGATATTTTCAGCATAAACTTGAGCACAAAAAATTATATTTCCCATTTAATAATTTAATAATAATAATATTTTTTATTTAATAGTAAAATTTTAGTACTATGCATATAAATATAAGAATTTATGTGGTATGTATGTAAATATATAAAAATTGTGGTATGCATGTAAATGCCCTACCATTTCCATAATTGCTAGAAACCATTAGCACTTTCTACGCGCTGTCATTTGCTTAAGAAGTTATTTAGAAGGAAGTATTAAAAATATAAGGAGTATATATTTTAAATTTTTTATTTAATTTAAAATAAATAAAAAAAGCTAAATTTAAAATAATTTAAAATTTTTGAAAATTCCCATTTTTATTGTATTTAAAAATAAAACTAATTGATTTTAGCGTAGTCCTCTTCGCTCTTATCATATAGTGATGTTTTGCCCTGTCTATTTTATACCCTGGCTCATGTCATGTTGTCCACTTTATCATCATCACATTAACTCACTCGCATGTCCTTATATCTCGTAAAAAATAATGTGTGTGGAGTCGGGATGTAGAAGTACCTTGAGACACTGCGAAAAATAAAACGAGTAGAACAATATACTCGTTGTATTCTATATAATGTTCAGATGTAATTCTACATCCGAGCTCCACAGATAATATTTTCTCAATCTCTGGTTAGCTTGGCCTCCCTAGCTTCGCGTCTCACACGGGATTTTAATTAGGAGAGAATGAGAATGCATGTGTTTTAAAAATACATGCAAATAAAAAAAAAAAGCTAAATTTACATACTAAGACTCAAGTCTAATGCATTTATGTATTGGACATGCAAACATTGATATTTATATTTGTACCACTTTGGTGTCAAACTTATAAATAAAAATGAGTATTTTGTTTTTACAATGATAGCGACATTGAAGATGGTTTTTTTGATGTGACGTAAAAAAAATTGAGTCATATGATTTTGAATATTAATGTTAATTTAAGTATTAGATATGTAAATGCATAAGAATTGTGTGGAATGCATGTAAATGCCCCTAAAAAATCAATTTATATGATTAATAAATCATGAAAAGATATAATTAAACAAAACAAATGATACATGTAATCTTATTTACATGTAGAGGTCCCCAAATCATATTTATTACATATGCAAATTCTGAAACATTTAATTTACGCAAACTCCCTTCCATCTCTCTCCCTACCTAGCCTAGGTTTCCCTTCTTTCTCTCATTATTCACTGCACTTCTCACCAAAAACCCAACAATACCTTCAATCACATCTCTCTCGCATCTCCCCGGCATGCCTCCGACATGGCCCCCTCTCTGTTTCTCGATTTCTTCGTAGCTCTAATGACAACTGTATAAGAGATGAAGAGAGGCAGACGAAGTCGTAACAGTGTCCTTGAGGGCGTAAATGAAATGTTTGGGGACCTCCATATATAAAAAACATCCTTTTTGTTCTCAAAAAGTTGATGTCCATATTGCGAACAAAATTTAAAATTTTTTTAACAAAATAAAATCAAATTATATTTAGGATCTGTTTGGTACAACTTTCTGTCTTCTTTGAATTTCACACAGTCACCACAACTTCATTTGAATAATAACTTTTGCTGTAATTTCTAGAAATTTTAATGATGAGAAGTTGTTTTTCTTATTATGATTTGTTAAAGTGCGATGACTGTAAGAAAGTTGTTGTCTAATTTTTTTTCTAATATATATATAACTCGTATTGTAACTTTCTAAGAATTTACTTTTTCTACCACTGCTTTACAACCAACTTTTTAAGAAATTGGGGTGACTCTTACTTACACTTTAATAGATGTAACTTGATGTTTTATTAGTTCAAATGGATGTTGGAAATGTATCCTAGAAGATTTGGTAGGTTGTAGTGGTTGTTCCTAAGGCTTTAAGCTCAAGATTATCTAATGTCACCATCTCTATTTTTCTTGCTGATTTGCATCTGCCAAAGGAGGAATGTAGAGTAAAATGAATATAATACTCTAATAATATATTATGGCTATTTTATTAGGTTGTTTGGCTAGCATCAATAAGAAATGCACCGCATTCGTTTTGTAGAAGTTTTGAAAATTTAAAGGACTGATCGAAATGCAAAGTAAAATTACAATGCATTTAAAATTAATTATCTAGTTTAATTTCATTGTAATTAAAATTTGTTAATTTGGTTGACTTGCAATTACATTGCTCTCTTTAAAGTATTGTCCATTATCATCGCCTACAACATGTTCGTCTACGATCATTGCCGCCCGAGCCTACCGCTATCATTGCCACCAACCCGTCCTCATTACTACTATGGCCCTTACCGGCCACCACCACTCACCAATAGCCGCTCCACGCTACTATTATAGCTCCCATCAGCCCCCCACCACTTGCCATTGTTGCCACCCGCCCTCCCACAATCGCCCACTGGTCATCCCTTTGCTATCAATTGCTTTGCCATCGACCACCCATCGCCGCAGTAGCCACCACTCTCACAGGCAATCGATCGCCCCTCCACCACCGACCGCTCGTTACTATCAGCTACAGTCCTCCACTATCATCTCTAATAGATATATTTTACATTGATTTTCCTTTTTTTTAAAATCAAACAATAAAAATGTAAAATCATGCATTTATTTTAAACCAAATCAAACTACAAAATATTTCAAATACAATACATCAAATTTACGTAGTATCCATTTTTCAGAAAACTAAACACCCCTAAATATAAAACAACTATAAGAGGAAATATATTTATTTAGTTTGCAATATAATAAAATCAATATAAAACCTTTTATCTTATTATTATTATTATTATTATTATTATTAAAGTAATTATAAGGCAATGGTGTGAAAAACATCTTTCAAAATATAAAACCTTTTATCTTATTATTATTATTATTATAAAAGTAATTATAAGGCAATGGTGCGGAAAGCATCTTTAAGTAAATGCAGTGAGAATTATAAATATTTATTTATTTTTTCCAAAAAAATCAGAGCATGCTCTCTTAAAGTCGTCATACTTAACATATCTGATTATAAAAAGCAATTTTCAGCACAAAAATTTATATATCTAACACTTAAGTACTGATGAAAACATATAATCAAGCAATATTTACACATAACACATTTTTGTGTATTTATATATCTAACACCTAAAGTTTGATATTTACATTTACTCCCTTGGTGTCATAAACCTATGCATGAAAAAGTGCATTTCACTTTAAAAAAAAATAGCAATAGTAATATTTTTTATGCGATGTTAAAGATTTGAGTGATGCATGTAAATATGAATCTTTAGGTGTTTGCTAGGCAAATACATAAGAGTTGTGTGGTATGTATGTAAAAGTTGTCCAACAAATGAAAAAAAGCAAAACATCATACTTAAAAAACAAAAAAAACTCATCACTGAATGAGTAAATGGTAATTTAAATAAATCTTCAGCAAAACTTTTCTAGTCTCTGAAACATTCAGCAAGGGAAGAAAGAAGAAAAAGTTGAGAGAAATGTACAGCACCTCATTTCTTGATGAACTCCAAGCCATTTGCATTAGAATATCTCTCCATAAACCTCATGAACCTGTCCCATTCTTTTGGACTGCGCATTACATACTTTGCTTCTATTTTCGAAGGTTTTCCGTTCACAAACTTGGCGCTCACATTGGTCGATTGGAGCACGCCTTCCTCGTCGATCATGTAGAAACCGGTGATATCACCGAGTTCGCTCGAGGAGTCAAATACAGAAGGTTCGTCGAAGATAAAAGTGGCGACGCCATTTGTGCCGTCACGAGATTTGGTTAGGCTGACGTCTGGTATTGTCTGCTCGTCGGTTCCTTGGATGAACTGGATTGCAGGTTTGGTCATCATGGTGACAGGTCTTGATGTGTTAGAGTGAACTGCTGTGTGTTTTCGCATTGGAGCAGGAATCTGGAAGGGTTTTCCATGGAACGAGGAGTTGGACCTCTGGTGAATGGTTCTTGAAAGAGAGGATAGACCTTAAAAAGAATAAGTTCAACTAGTTAAAAATTGAGGAAGGTGTCAAAATTTTCATCTGGCTCTTTAGAGGAGGTCATTTCAGTCACATAGTTTATGAAAATGTAAATCGAGGATCTATTTGGGACGGCTACAGCTATTTGTAAAGAAGATTGCAAAACTATAGTGAGGAAAGCAACTTCTTACAAAACTATATTGTGCATCAAAAATAAATTTTTTTCCCAAAAAAGTCATACAACTTCTTACAATTACACTTTAATGAATTTGACTGTAAAAAGTAGTTCCTCATCACAAAAAAATCAGCAAGAAAACAATTCTTCAAACAGAATTATCAGTAAAAATTTGTCTCAAACAGACCCTGAGAGTAATAATCATGAATGACTATGTTAGAAGCATGCAAAGATTAACTGAAGAATATAATTGCCTAAGGATATGATAATGAACCTTGAATTATAAAAAGGTAATCCCACAAGTTAAATTGTTAAGAGAGACAAATTAAAATTTTAGAATTGAATCAAATTTATGTTAGAATAAATAGTTTAGTGGCATTCAGAAGTGCTGATCTCAACTAAATAGATAGAAGTGATACTACTCAAGTATTTTGGGCTTGTTTGGTTCTTAAAGATGAAATTAGCCTCTTAAGCCTGCCAAATAGTTTGTTTACTGAGAAACAGGGAGAATAACATTTTCCAGAGCAACAGCACCTCAAGGTAGTGCTGTAAAGACATGAATTTCAATGCCCATACTACAGTAATTACAGAGTATATAAGACCAATATGGAATCTTCTAGAGATTTTTCTATAAGCTGTAATGGGCACGCCTGCTGCCATTCGGTTATGGAATGATATCATTGGTGTTGGGGACCACTAGTTGTGCTATGTCTAATACCCTCCTGCCAGCTGAAGGTTCTTGGGAGAACCGTAAGCTTTGTGTGAAGATCACGAAATTGATTCTTTGGAAGGGCTTTGGCGAGGATGTGCTAGTTGTTGTCGAGATTGAATGTGTTTAAGTTGGATATTGTTAAGATGGATATGATCAAGAAGAAAGTGTTGATCAATCTCTATATGTTTGCTCCGCCCATGAAATGGGATTCTTCACTAGAGAGATTAATGTTGTCACAGTAGAGACACATAGGTTGAGTTACGGGATTACAAAATTCTTCAATAAGATGCCGGAGCCATAGGATGTCGGTCGTAGCTGTGGCTAATGCTCGATATTCAAATTTTGTTGAGAATCAAGCAATCGTGGACTGTTTCTTCACTTGCAAGAAAATGAGAGTATTGTGACGAAATAAGCACACCCCGATTGTGGATTTACAGTCAAAGCAGTTCCCCCACCCAGTCGGCATCAACATAAGATGTGATTTGGAGGCTCCTTGGTTCGAAGAGTATACCAAAAGTGACTCCTACCTTTAAGATAACAAAATTGATGAGTAAGTTGCTTGAAATTAGATGTCGTAGGCAAGTGCATCTTCTGGCATAGACAATTAATAATATAGACAATGTATGGAAGTGTCATCGTGAGATATTGAAGTGTCCCTGTCCGTTGGAGATACAGTGTTGGATTATGAAACGGAGGACTAGGGATTACATAAGCAGGTTGCTTCATTTGCATAGGCGTGTTGAAGGGTTGGAAATCCTATAATCCTACAGACTCAAGGAGTTGAAGTGCATACCTTTGTTGGCTAAGGAAGTCGCGATTTTCAGATTTATGGACATCAATTCCCAAGAAGCATGCAACTGGCCCAAAGATATTTGAGCTGGAATCGAGCAGCCAGATTTTCGGTCAGCTGGGAGATCAGTTTGAAATTATTGCTTGTGATAAGGATGTTGTCCATGTATAGGAGAACAAAGATGCAATCATTACTTTGATTGTAAAGGAGAAGCGTGGGATCAACCTTGCTGATTTGAAAACCCCGTGCAATAAAAAATTCAGAGAAGGTGAGGAACCACTGACCGGAGCTTGATTTAGTCCATATAAGGATTTCTTAAGTAGGCATACATAGTTCAGAAATTGTAGATCGTGAAACCCTATGGTTGTAGATCGTGAAAGCAAGATTTTCATTGAGATTACCGTGGACGAATGCATTTGAAAGGTCAATTTAAAGTATATTCCAATTATGGTGGAGAACAAAGGTGATAAGTATGCGGATTGTAAGAATTTTAGCTACGGGGCTAAACGTTTCATGATAGTTTATGCCAAATTCTTGCCGGTGACCTTGAGCAGCAAGTCTTGTCTTGCATCGAGTAACTATACCTTGGGCGTTAACTTTGGTACTGTATGTTCATTGTGAACCCATAATTGTTTGATTTGGTGGGGGAGGAACCAATACCCATCTTCCTTGTCATTGAAGAACATTAAATTCCTCTTGCATGGCCTTTTGTCAATGGGAGTGTTTGGACGCTCGAGTGTAGGAGGTAGGATCATGTAGAGGTTAGATGTGATGTAAGAGATTAATTTTCTGGATTGGGCGAGTTGTCATGTGGTGTGTGGGTGGTTGGACTACCGGTGTAGTTGTTTGTGTGATAAATACAAGTCTTGGAGAAGATGTGGTGAGATTGATAAGTAGAGAAGTAGAGGATATCATAGCTGGATTAGGAGAGGGAGTTGGAACCGTAAGAGATAGGTAGGTAGTGGGTGTTAATAGAAATGGTGGAATTGAAGAAGTGAAAGGCTGATGAATAATTGAAGGCGTAGTAGATGTGGATTGAAGTGGAAAGAGATGTTCATCAAGGAGTAGTAGATGTGGATTGAAGTGGAAAGAGATGTTCATCAAGGACGACGTGACGGGACACTATAATTATGTTGGTAGAAGGATTGAAGCATTTATAACTCTTAAGTTGTCATGACTAACTGAGAAAAATGCATTGAACGGCTCTAGGTTCAAATTTGTGAGAAGTTTGATGTTTTTGTCGAGGGTAGCAAGCACATTCAAAGGCATGAAGATAAGTCTAGGATGGAGAATATTGGTGAAGATGCTCATATGGTGATAGATGAGAAATGCTTCGTGTTGGCATTCGGTTAATGAGGCGTACGACAGTTTGGAGTCTGTCGATCCAAAACTTGTAAGGAAGGTGTGCTTGGTGCATTAAGGCTTGAGTGGTTTCATTAAGGTGTCAATGCTTTCGTTCGACAACACCATTTAGCTCAGAGGTGTAGGGACAAGAATATTGGTGTAGAATGCTAAGGTCATTGAGGAAGATATTTAAGGGGTTATTATTATATTCTTTTCCACCATCCAACCGAAGAATTTTAATTTTAGTATTGAATTGATGCTGGAGTGATTTAATTAAATTTATAGTAATGTTTGTGGTCTCAGATTTCACACACATAGTAAACACCCAACAAAATTTAGAGAACTCATCAATAAAAGCAATAAAATATCTCTAGCTAAGAAGTAATTGGGGAGGAACCCCCTACATCACTATGAATAAGTTCTAGACATTTGTATTGTTGCCCCATGCTAGATACAAATGGTTGTTTGTGGCTCTTGGTAAGATTGCATGTGGTACATGAAGTTAAGCTGGATGGAATGAGGAGAGATTGGCCCTTGGATATGGCAGCCATAATGGTAGTGTGGATGTCCCAAGTGTCAATGCCACAACTCAGTTTGTTGTATTTTAGAAAGAGATGTAGTAAATGCTTGTAGTAGATAAGTAGATGCTGGAGTGGAGTAACGTCCTCTAAAACCGGGACACTTGAGAAGTATCTATTAAGTCTGAGGATTAGAAATGATAAAGCCATAAGGATCAAATAACACTGTGACATTGTTGTCTTTGGTTAGTTTGTGGATAGATGGGAGACTATGAGAAAGAAGAGGTTGGTTAGTTTGTGGATAGAAATGAGATAATGATAAAGAAGAGGTTTATGATGAATTTGGGAGAGTTTGAGCTTACGATTTGGAGTGAGAAGAAGACCGTCTCTGTGCTGAATTGGAACAGTTTGTTTGTTGCCTACCATAACTTTTTCATTACAATTATAAGTTGTAGCTAGTTGGAGTTGGCTTAGGTCAGAGTTGAAGTGTGCGGTTGCACAAGAGTCTAGAATCCATTCTTTGGAGTTGGCAATGAGAGCTTGAACTGGAATTGATGGCCCGTACTAGAAATTCGTCTGGTGCATACAAATAGATGCATAACAACCCGTTTTATGACATATTTGGCATGTTATATTGGATCTAGTTGATGTTCTTCTTCCTCGTGAAGCATTGGAGTAACCTCCTTTTGCATTTTTTGATTGATTTCAACCCCCTTCCTCTAGTAGAGATTGTGTTGCATCCTCTGTAAGTATTCAGCGCCATGGGGGTTTCGGTTTTAGCAATAGATTTCGCATTCTCATTATTGATATTGATCTTCTCACTAGAGAGCAGAGAGTAGAGATCATCCAACACAATTGGTTGAAGTGATGTTCTAATAGTTGCTTTAAATGCGTTGTAGGTTGGAGGTAATCCATTGAGTGTACAGAGGATGGCATCTTATTAATCTAACTTGGGCTTATATAAGACCTTATAATATTTTACAAATTAATCCCTATACTTCCTCTATATTTTCAATTTACAATTAGGACTCTAAACAAGATACAGATCTCAACATTTACATGTATAACACACAAATCATTAACATCACATAAAAAATAACACCATCACTCCATTTAAAAAAAAAACACATATTTCTTGCATAGGTTTATGACATTAAGGTGTTATAAGTGTAAATATCAAACTTTGGGTGTTAGATATGTAAATAAATAAGAATTGTGTGCTATGCATATGATTTTCCTAAAGAAAAACTTTGAGAAGACATTACCTACTTCTATGCGGTGATCCGATCTAATTCTTCCAATTTTGCATCAAGAATCAGTGGTCTATTTTATGAACCCAACAAAGTAAAAAGGTTGAATTAGAATAAATAGTTGAAGTAAATTATCATATTAACCAACTAGAAGGCTCAACTCTTTTTTGGGCTTGTCTCTTTTTTTTCTCCTCTCTCAGCTTCTTCACACTTATGAATCTTAAACCTAAGCTAACACTAAACCAACACAAGTACTAATGTGAACAAAAGAGTTCATGAATATGCATATGTTATAAACATTCTGTTATTTAAAGGAACCAACTTGGTAGAAGATTGATTTGTAAAGAAAGAGCTTAACTGCTCGTAAGTTGATGTATTGTTAGAAATTCAGTTAGTTAAGAAGGACAAACCCCTTAGGTCCATCTGGTTAGAACAGGTGAAAATTTTCAGGTAGATGTGCTCAGGAGATATGCCTTCTAAAAGTCACATCGAGTGGGTAGACAAAGGACAGAGGTTTAGCTTTAGTCATCATTTTCCAATAAAATGCAACTATTTAGTTGATTTCACTTGATGGAAGTATGAAAGGCCTTTTTCCATTTATAACTACAAATAGCATAATGACAGGAGACCTGTCAGCTATCTCAACCATAATGATCCTAGATAATTCATCCAGAAGATAGATACACCAAATCTTGGTCCAGCCACTCAACAACTACCTCTGTAAGAGCCAACAAATTCACCAAATCTGATTGAAAATTTAGCTATGCTCATTATTACTGACTACATCATTGTCCCAACTTAAACGTTTAAAAAATTAATTTAACTGAAAGCATCATCTAAATCACTTTTGCTCAACTTTATTAAAGCTATATCCCTGTAAAGCCTCTTTCTTAAGAAATTATTCAGATTTCAGAACAGGCATAAAGTTTATGGAGAATCCACAATGCCTCCACCTTCTGGAAATTATTACATTGTCAATAAATCCAATACTCCCCCAAAAACAAAAGCATAAATTATGATAATACAGCCCAAAGAGCCGATCAAAATATCACCTTTTTAGCTAAAATCTCTCATCAAATTGCAGGAAATCCCTCAACAAATATCACAATTTGCAACATGAAATGTAAATTTGGATTTTCTAATCAAATCTCCATGATTTGAAATGAGTGAAGTATAAGATCAATCAATTAAAAACTATATCATATTCATCTCAAAAGAAATCCAATGACTCTAAAACCCTCCTAACCATCTGGCTCAGGATATCCACGCCGTTCCAAATTTCCAATGAAATTGCAGTTTCCATGAATACAGAAGGACAAAAAAGAAGAAGTTTTTTCAAGGTAAAATCAACCCCGGTGGTGCCAATTTCACTTCATTTCCGACCCATTTACGAAATTAATTCCTCTGAGAACTCAATCAACACAAGTTATTGAAGCTTTAAAACACCTCAGAATAAACAAAAGAAAGATTCTACAACCAAAAAAAAATAGAAAAAATTTTGCGCTTCACATCAGATCATTCCAAATGAGCAAGCTCATTAATCAATCGTTACAGAAAGGGTAGATTACTGGTTGAGAGAAAAGGAAAAACAGCACTTTGGATTTCAGAATCTATGGAGGAGAGCAGAGAGATGGTGGAATTAAGAGAGAAAAAAAAAAACTTAGTGTTTACCAAATGAGCGACGCTTCTGGGGCCAATTAGCAATCGTTGAAGAGAGAGCAAGCGATTGCATTGCGGCCATCTATTCACACAGAGCTGATATGGAGAGCAATTGGGCGAGAAAGAGAGAGAAAGGTGGGCGAAGGAGAAAGGGCAACAGTGGAAGCAGAGAGCAGTGGAGGAAACAGATGGTGTGTTGCAAGGATAGCCATTCGCTCACATAGCATAAGATTGGATGAAAGTTTTAAAAAAAAATGGTTGGGATATTTCATGAAAATAATAGTACAAGTTTTTATAACATATATCATATATTTTTTATCTCATTTTTTATAAAATTAAAAACATCTTATAAAATTTATAAATTTTAACAGGGATTATTCGAGCTCGGCTTGTAATGATGACAACAGGCTTACGAGTTTGAAGCTAAAATCAAATTATCAGGGGAGCACATTGGAGAAGACGTCTATGATTAGAGAAAATGGGGGAGAGTATCGCAACCAGAAAAGACATCAACGTGACCAATGGTCAGCTGGTCGAGCCAGCTCGTGAGTTGAGCCTATACAAGCTTGTCTAATAAATTAGCGGGAGTTTGAGCTTGAGAAGCTTAATTGCGAGCTCGTTAACGGATCAAGCTCGAGAGCTAGCTCTGCGCTCTTACGACCATAACTTCAACTTTAATTGAGGATGAATGGCACTAATGTTGTTGAATATTTTGCAAGAGGTGATGACAACGTCTATTTGGAAATGTTAATCAAAGGTTGTCTGATCATAGTAGTTTTTCTCATTTGAATTCAAGAAATAAAAACTTATTTATGTCATTTGTTGAATCAGAATATGTTTTATGAACCACACTCAAGAAACAGAACATAGAGAAGTAGAGAGAGAAAGAGCACGACAACGACCAATAAAGTGAAAGGATTTTGTAATCTTCTAAGAAATAAAAACTTATTTATGTCATTTGTTGAATCATAATATGTCTTATGAACCACACCCAAGAAACAAAGCATAGAGAAGTAGAGAGAGAGAAAGAGCACGACAACGAGCAAAAAAGTGAAAGGATTTTGTAATCTTCTATTCATGAAAAGAACTCATATTTATAGAAAGAGAATATAACATGAAAAGTTACATTTATTCCCCTACTTAAGTAGGGATTGTATGTGTTATTCTAGGTATTTTAGTATTGTGGGTCCGGAGCCTTACTATTTTTTGGCTCGATCAATTCAATCGGCTAAACTGAATAAGGGTTCGAAAAACATGCCAGCCGACTGTGCTCATCATTGTCGTCGGGCATAACGCTTCCATTCAACTCAATGACCGCGAATTTATAGAGCTGATTTGATCTGCTGAGTTTGGTTGGTCAATAAAATTATTTTGATCGGCCCCCGATCTTAAACAAGGAGTCTCTATAGGCAGGGAAATACTAGGCCGTCGGAAGAGGGTAGATCATCGTAATTTGATGGGTAGTCTTCCTTTAGATGAGAGGATCCTGATAGTATTGTCGAAACTTGTACTCTTTTAGTGGCATTTGGGAGAGGTAACTGAGTGATCCCAACATAAGAGTCATGGGGACCAGCCTCTCCTTCGACACGTCTTTGTTATAGTGGCTTTTGGACTATTCTTTGCTTGAACCGCTCAACCTAGTGTCACCTCCACTGCCTGGTGACTTGAGCAGTTCCGGGTTTGCTTTATCCACTCCACAGTCTAGTTCTCTGATCCGCCTTTTGGTAGGTACTCTTGATATTAGGAACTTTTTTTTTTAACTGACAGATCAATTTGACATTCACGCCTCCATAATTTCCGTGCTCATCATTAAAGCTAAGGATATTGTATTCTTATGCCCTTTATATTCTTACAAATTTGTCCAATATAGAATAAAACTTAAGATTAAGGCGATATTGTGTCCAGAATAATATCAAGATAAATATATTCTTCCAATTTGATTTCCTTTAACTTTAATATTGTCATTTTCTCCCACCATTTAGCTCCAAAAAAAATAGTCTAAGCCCATTTAAAGTATATCACATTATGGTTAGCTATTCAGCCCTTTAGTGTCAGCAGCCCACAAATTTGCAATGCAAAGTGTTAGCATTGAGTGGAGGTTAAGTAATGACACGTGTCCATCTACTAAATATAGTTTAATGAATTTCATATTAACAAAAAATTAAAGATAATGACCAAATAGGTCATAATACTTTTATCTAAAAGCTTCAATAATGTTAAATTAAAAATCCTTCAAAGTAAAAGTAGATTCTTTTTATAGAAGTGTCAAAATAGTCCATGACAAGATATGAAGCCAAAAAAGTTTCCTTTTATTTTAAAATTGAGCTCTAATAGTCTTCTGCAAAGACCATTTCATCCATAATTTAAAGAGTTTGATGACTATTTTGACACTATATAAAGCCTGGGATTAAAACTGTCCAATATAAATAGTCAGAGATTATTTTGGCACTTCACTCTTTTTTTAGAGCGATTTTGCAATTATCACTCAACCTAGTGTCGCCTCCACTGCCCTGGTGACTTGAGCAGTTTCGGGTTTGCTTTATCCAGTCCATAGTCTAGTTCTCTGATCCGCCTTTTCGTGGGTACTCTTGATATTAGGAACTTTTTTTTTTAAATTGACAGATCAATTTGACATTACGCCTCCATAATTTTCCTGTGCATCATTAAAGCTAAGGATATTGTATTCTTATGCCCTTTATATTCTTACAAATTTGTCCAATATAGAATAAAACTTAAGATTAAGGCGATTTTGTGTCCAGAATAATATCAAGATAAATATATTCTTCCAATTTGATTTCCTTTAACTTTAATATTGTCATTTTCTCCCACCATTTAGCTCCAAAAAAAAAAAATAGTCTAAGCCCATTTAAAGTATATCACATTATGGTTAGCTATTCAGCCCTTTAGTGTCAGCAGCCCACAAATTGCAATGCAAAGTGTTAGCATTGAGTGGAGGTTAAGTAATGACACGTGTCCATCTACTAAATATAGTTTAATAAATTTCATATTAACAAAAAATTAAAGATAATGACCAAATAGGTCATAATACTTTTATCTAAAAGCTTCAATAATGTTAAATTAAAAATCCTTCAAAGTAAAAGTAGATTCTTTTTATAGAAGTGTCAGTGTCAAAATGGTCCATGACAAGATATGAAGCCAAAAAAGTTTCCTTTTATCTTAAAATTGAGCTCTAATAATCTTCCGCAAAGACCATTTCATCCATAATTTAAAGAGTTTGATGACTATTTTGACACTATATAAAGCCTGGGATTAAAACTGCCCAACATAAATAGTCAGAGATTATTTTGATACTTTACTCTTTTTTTATAGCGATTTTGCAATTATCATCAACAAAATTAATTTTTTGAAAGGACAATAATTTCCTTGCAATCATCAAAAATAAAGGAAATAGTTTTCTTTTCGAGTAGTGTCAAAATGTTTTCGTCCAATGCTCATAAAAGTGTCAAAGCAGTCTCCTACTCTTTAAATTGGGATCGAAATAGTCACATTGGAAAATTATCAGAGCTCAATTTTGAAATAATTACTGATTGTTTTGACACTTCTATAAACTCTGAGACTAAAACATCATCAATGTAAATAGTCAGGGACTATGCTCACACTTTAATCTTTTTCATTATAACTTTTTTGAAATGCAATAAAAAAATTAAAAATAAAAGAAAAATTAAATGAAAGTGAGGTGGCAATATGAAAAGTAAAGCTATTAAATAATCAGCCCTAAAGAAGCTCTAAAAGTATAAGTAGATATCTATAGAGGATATTCCCATCAATAAAAAAATTAGGCCGGGACAAAATCCAAAAGCTATTTAAGGTAAAGCCTTAAAGTGAATTCTATTAAAATGAATTTGAAAAATGCTTATATATTATATTAAATCATTTTTTATTTATTCATCATTGTAATAATTTTATATTATTATTATTATTATTATTATTATTATTATTATTATTATTATTATTATTATTATTATTATTATTATTATTATTATTTGTTAGAAGCACCTAGCTTGGAGCAAAGTGATGTGGTGAGGGAGGAGGGAAGCCCCAAGTCAAATCACCAAAAATGAATAACATAATGTACCAAAAGCCAGTCGGGAAAATTTATTGTGTTCAGAGTTTAGACGTAAAGATGCGTCTGAACAACGTACACGATACACGGAGCGGGATGGAGGAAGAAATGACCCCCGGTATATCGCGTCCCTATTCAGCGTATAATAATAACAATAATAATAATAATAATAATTACTAAAATTCACATACATACTTCACAATTTCTTTGTATTCATAAACCTAACACCTAAATTTTGATATTTATATTTATAACACTTTTGGTCATTAGGTGTCACAAAATATACATGAAATTATGCATTTAACTTTTAAAAAAATTAATAAAAATGCTATTTTGCATGTGATACTAAAAATTGAGTGCTATTTATGTAAATATGAAATTTTATATCTTAGATATGTAAATATATAAGAATTATGTGGTATATATGTATGTATTTATAACTTCTTCAAACTTAGTGAAAAAGCATGTGAATAAGCTAGTTAAAATCAATAAATGAAATTTTCCACACTTCATTAATTATATTTCATTTAATAATCCACAACAATGCTAAGTTCATGATAAATAATAATAATAGGAATCATCATGGTAGACAATATTTAAAGGAGGACATGAGGTGTCTCCCTCATTGCATGTGTCTTTTCCCTTTTTTTTTTTCTTTTTTTTCTTTTCCTTTTCTTCCAATAGGAGGTTGATATCTGATGCAAATGGCTAAATGAGATATTTTTCAGCTTCAAATCTATGGAAAAAAAAAACATTTTATTACCTATTATAAAAAAAGTATAATATTTGTGCATAAAAATGTGTCAGTGATGATCCCGAGGAGATCTAATGGTTTTGAAAGGAATTATACGATGAAAGAGGGTCTACTGACAAAAGATCATGAGATTGATTTGTTTGAATGAGTGAAGTTGTCCGAACAAAGCTAGCAAAGTCAAAGTAGAACGAACTAGAAGATGAACCAAAGATGACCGAATGATACAAAAACGAGTCACTTATTAAAAAATAAGACAAAAGGGTATTTGAGCTAACCATCATAGGAGAGCCGATCCCAGGGATGATCTAGTTCTCTAGCTTCTCTAACCATCCTAGGGACACCTAGGCGCGTCACATTAGGGGTTAATGATCGACAACAGGGTCATATCAATCGGCTCAGTC